TTGTTTGCTCACTGAGAAATGCGAGTCACGTTCCCGGAGGTTCCCGGACGGCAATTTCGTTGAAGCGTCGCCCCTGTTGCACGAATCAGACGCTTCTACTCGTAGTACTTACACGCGATCCTACATAAACTGACGACGTTCTACTTTGTTAAACCACGCTACTGTTGCTTCAAGAAATTACTGTGAGCTAAGTGTCATCTGCAACTCTTCGCTTTCTTCGGTCGGACCCTGTGAGTGTGGTTCTTACACCCTACAGTGGACGTTGACCTACGTGTTGGACATCAAGAGACTTCTACAAGCTGAAAATCAGCGTCTCCTACACTGTCTATCGTCCGCCTTGCCCTGATTTTTATATGCCCTTCGAGACCGTACAATCGCGATTCGCTCCTGCGTGGCTTGATGCAGTTCTCAACCAAACTCTGGTCCAGATTGTCCCATCGCTCATCGTACCTTTCACCCTATACGCTCACCTCTATCAGCCTAGTGTCGTTCTCCACCTTTCGCTTACCTCAACGGCCTTTGTCTTTGGCCCCAGTCGCCGCCGCATAACGCCAAATCTCCGGCACCCTCCTCTATTCCGAGCAACGCCAAATCCCCGGACTCCGCCTTTACCCCCGAATATAGGCATTAGAGTGGTTCTCAAGCGTGCGTGCACCACTGCGAAGACGGACTACCCAGAGGAAACATGCCCTTCTGCCTTTGCATGATCCGGTAGGCCTAACATCAGCAACAGGTCTCGTGTCAACTCCAGTCACTACAATACGGTATTAAGGGACAAATCGTAGGTATTTCAAGAAGAGTGAAAAATCGGGGTCACTTTTTACCGAAACACGGTGTAATCAAAGTGAAATGCAAGAGCCACATTTTTTAAACGCACATGCGTACTCTGGGTGGCATCGTGAAAGAATTCGAGCAACTGCTCAATGCAATTAATTTCAGTCAAAAGTTGAGGCATTCTGGCTCCGCAAATCCAGCAGGCTGCTTCCAAAAACCAATAAATTGAGGCGTTAGCTCGGTTGGTAGCCTTCTTTGTGGACTCCTGCGAAGCCAAGGAGACGCGAATTGAGGAATTCGGGTTGACTTTTTTCCCAGACATAAATTCGAAGAGGCGCTGTTCATGATCTTCGACGAATTCTCGTACCGGAGGCGGATAAGGGGCCGATAAAGGATTAGTCACCAATCCAATCGAAAAATCAAGCTCACTAACTGGACTATAGGAATCGAAATTTTCTAGAAGATACAGCCAGTCCTAAAGAAAAACATTTGATCGTTTTCAAAATGGTACCACAAATAAGACTACAAAAACCAGTTAGGAAGTGCGTTGACTTACATTGTAGATAGCATCTCGTCCAGTTGTGAGCGGAGATACTTTAGCTAGGAATTCCGACGCAGAAATCTTATTCTGGTGAATAAAGCGAGCAGCACGGACAAGAGCATCGCAATTCAGCTCAGTCCACTGGCTCTTCTTTTCGGTTTCCGTCGACGTGCGGAAGAAAGTACAATATTTTGAGTAGAAAGTGCAGGATTTACAGGGAAGTGGAATCGGGGTCTCTTCCGCTTGGGGTTGTACTGTGACTCTTTCCGAAGCCACAACAGATAAATCGTCAACCACCTGGCTAATCGGGTCGGTCAGGCTTAATTTGACCTCTTTCTGAAAAACGGAAAGCACAGAAGAGGCTAAATGTGGGGCCAAGTGGCTATGACCACCAATCGCTCTCTTAACATGGGAAAGAGGTGTTTTGGCGCAGTGGCTACCAAGCTTAACAGTTTGGAAAGCTTATCGAGGATGTGCCTGGACAACCAAAGTAGATGCCGGTGTCAACTCACGGAAGCGTGACGTCTAGCAGTCCCATGCTTTTCTCCCCAGCCCTCATCTGTTTGAGGATTAAAGGAGGCTGCGGGGCCGAGGAATTCATCCGTACTTCGTGCCAACCGCACTAACTGAGCATGGCTCAGCACCGAACTCAGAGGGGCACCGCTCTGTCGACAGTAGGAACGCGGCCTTCGGATACTCGGCATGCCACGTGGCAGGTTACAGACCCATGTGGACCAATCAAATGGAATGGTTCGATTCTTCATTTCGACATCACGAGCGCTACCGAGTGCGTCCTCAAGAGCTTCGCGCGCCTGGGGGGTTTCCGCGAGAAACCGTGCAACGTTGCTCCAACGATGCTGTAATAGAAAATCAGTGAAGTTGCTACAGTCACTGTGGTCTATTTAGCAAGTCGAATCAAGGTCACCCGACGTAAAAAGCGCTATATTCATAATTGCTAAGAGTCGCAGGTGAAACTTCCGCTTTCTCCCATGATCTGCCAACATAAAATGAAAAACAATCGAAGACAATGACAAAAGGCCTTTTTATGGCCGAGAAGTGAGCGCTTTTATGTGCCCTGACAACATAAAATAATAACGCTTCCATGTAAACTTTCACTTCTAAGGAGGCGCCACGGTATGCTTGCAGTCAGCCTTGCTACTTTTTATTCTACGAAACTAATGACCAGATTTACTAGAAGAGAGTTCCTCGGATGAATTACCGTAACCTTGGCGTGTTAGCTCACGACGGGTTTCGGAGGTTGTATTGCGAAAATGTGGCGTGGATGCAGATTCCGAAACATACCTCGTAGTCGCCGTTCAACTTGAAAAGTAGACGCGCGGTTACAACGACCACAGCCATGGCGAACACTTCGCCGCGAAAGTACCGGTGAAGAGGCAGAAGGTAATGCATGCCCAGGCCTTTCTCGGTGACACTGGACTTCACACATCTGCCCAACTTTGTAATTAGGGAATTGGCTATTTCGTGGGCCTCTGGTGGGAACCCCAGTTGTCGCAGAAAACGATGGACAATCGAACAAAGAGGGAGTCTAAAATGAGGAGTAATTGCAATTGAAAGTGTTCGCTGACCGAACACCCAACGAAACCCACAAACCGCTTCTGTGGCTGTCAACGTCTGCATATCCGTCTCACTTGAAGGCTTTAGTAAAAAGAGATATGAGGAAGCAAAGGGAAGGGGAGCACTTTGAGTTCAATGCATTCTAGCATTCCAAATCCGACAAATTTACACACCTGTCGCATTTTTATTTACAATTAACCTAGACAAGAGATCCACTATGCATCTGCAGCTACTGTGCTAATTACTGAACTCGAAGGGCGGAATGCAAAGCCACGCAGGTCATTTTAACTTTCCTGCCAAGACGCCAACCATGATACGCGTTCATGTATGCAAGAAAGGTCTCACCTCGGCCGTTCGATGATGCCAAGCATAGTAGTTAGCTGATTGGTGATTCGAGTAAGGATAAGCAAGTCAGGTGGTTGTGATCGTTTAAAGTACATTTGTGTGTTGAAGTTGTAGGCAGAGAAATGAGGTGTTGTCCATTTTTCCGCCTGCAAGTAAAATGCAAAATAAACTAGGACAAGTGGAGTCGCTGCACACGGACACACGTTAATCAGACACGCCTCGCAAAAAAATCTCCAGAAGCACTACTAATGGGAAAAGGAATGAAAGGGATGACAACCACCTAAAACAGTCGTTAGTAGGCAGGAATGCATGTTGGTGACATACCGCAAGGTAGGGGAAGTTTTCCCTGTCTTTGCAAAGACACATTAGATCGTACAGAGAAAGGAAGTCATGCCGACAAATTGGAATTCTCTCTTCGGTAATAACCGTCAACGATAACAAAGCCGAGAGAAACAGAACACTCAGGTTGTATTCGAGAAGCCAATTCGACCTAAACTGTCCCAACTGGCCGTGCCAAAACACCTCTTTCTTTGGATGTTTCTTTAATCTAGGTAAAAGCGAAACGAGGTGTTAGTGAACTTAAAATCAGGACTGAACAGCGCCTGTCGTGTTGATGATGCCTTTGTTCGTTTGTGTGACAAGGGATTCGTGGGGTGCACACCAATCGCCAACTCTACACCCGTATTACATTTTGTGACATATAGAAAACGGGAAGATTTCGGTGGTTTGTCCGTGCTTTCCAAGATGTCTTCAAATCACCCACTCTCTGTCACAAAGCTAATCGGCACCCATTACAACTTATATTTGCTTGAAACTGTTCACTGTGACAATATCTTACAAGTCGGCGAGGGTACTTCTAATCAGAAAACAGTAATTAGCTCGGAAATGGCCACGCAAGGAAAGGAATTCAAGGTCACCTTGTTCTTAGCCACGTGCATGGCTTCCACTCATTTGACCTTCACTAGGACAGTGATTCATAAACTAACTCTTCCCAAGCAGGTGTTAAACACTGGAATTATCAGCAAAGGAGAACCCTTCGCTCCATCATGCATGCACTGTTTTGGCTGCGTCTCGCACCTTCGTGCTTGCTCGTGACACAGGATGCACCAATTTAAATGTGCACTCGAGAGATTTTGGCCTTCAGGCAAACACGTGAAAAGGAAGACGACAATCAATAATTAACCACAGGCGCTTTTTCATCTCCAAAATACAACGCAGATAACCCACAACTCACAAGTTTTCAACGATCATCTCCTTCCACATGTGTGCCAAATGCTTTAGATCTCCCGATTTGCAAGGTGTCTCGGATCGCGACTCCTGTTCCGGTGATCTCGAAGGGGCGGATACTCGCCCAGAACCACGCCGTGGACGCTTGCCAGATTCCCGGACACCGACTGTGTCTAAATCACCCAAATCGCAGGATGCCAAGGTCTCATCGACTTCGTCGTTCACCGTCAAATCATCGACTTCTTCACCAAAACTAGCAAAATATCGTATTAACAGGAGGCGAAAATGAGCAATATTCCACTCTAACCTAAAGGTACCAGGCAATGAAGGCAAATGTTGCCATATGAGTAGTGTCTTTAGCAGACAACGTTCGTAGGCTCTCATAAAACGAGTAGCAAACCTGTTAGTATGGCGAAATTAAAAGAGGTATTTGTGAGCTCAGGATTTTCGACTTAGGACTAGCCAGTGTAGTTTGTTAAATAGGGGAAATCTGCAAAACTGCTGCCAAATTTGCATATTGACATCCAAAACGTCTACACGAGGAAACGATATTAAGGTTGTGCAAAAATACCAGTACTGCTGGCATCTTCAAGACTGTTTGCTTCTTCCAATGAAGGTTCGACTTGTAACCTAATGCCAAAAACAATGCTGATCGCAACTCACGTAGTTTCAAACAGGAAGAAAGGATTATTCACGTGTTGAGGTTCGTTGGGACAGTAGAGAGGTCCCCAGCCAGCCCAATGGAAACCTTGGCCTAGTTTGGACTCAAGAATTCGTGACAACTGAACCATTTCGTCCACGCATTCTCCGCTTCGGCCAATTCGAGGAAGCACCTGATTGACGCAACTCCGACCCTCCGAGTTATACACCCTTATGTAATCCTCTCTTGAAGACAATGTTGCGCGAATGCCAGCCGACACCCGACGGAATGCCAGTGCCCACATATCACCTCCCAGTTCGCCTGTTATACACATATAGTTCATCCACAGAGACTTTACAAGAGAAGACATCCGATCAACAATTCCTGGAGGCGATGATGATTCAGATGAGAGGTGGGTGCGGATAATCTCCTTCAACTGATGGTGGAGTAGAAGCTTTTTGGAAGAAAATAACATGTAAGCTTATTCAGCATTTATTAACGGGCAGTTTAGACTACTCAACATCCTAGAACCCCATGCAGGCTAGGACAATTTCCACATCCAGCAAACTTTCCAATAAAATACGCGACAAGTAGCTTTATTTACTCACTTTCAAAACCACTGAAACCGGCGTCACTATAGGCTCGAAGCTGACTCTAACTTTGCGTTTGTAGACACTCAGACAAATTTAGGCGGCACCTCAAGTTGTCGGCTTAATAGCACTTACACAAAATTGGGCTCCGCAGTTTTTAGCACTCATTTACCAACATAAGCATAGGTCAGCAATGAGAATCAAGCGGTCCACAAACTCAATACACAAAGACGTGGTGCGTGAAGACTGACAAACAACATCAAAATAAGGATACAAATCAATATAAACAACTGATAGACCTGTGCAACTCGGAAACTTACAGTGAACGGTTCACTCATCCGCCATTTCCGCAGATTGCTGCGAATGCGTTGAGCCTCACTGCGTGATTTCTTCACTTGAGACACTTCCACCGAATCGACAGCATTCATATTCGCTCCATTGCCTCCATCATTATGTTCCTGCTTAGATTCTTCTTTGGTAACTGGTTGCACTGGTGAGTGAGCCTCAAACACACCAGACTGAGAAATAACGGAGTGATGCAGAAAACCGTTCCTGTTTGTATGAACACCCGTGTCTATAACACGCAGGCCGTAGGAACTTCCGTCAACTTCCTCCGTATTCTAGAAAATGAGGTCCGGCCGGTGAATTGAGTCAAGAACAGAGACGCACTCACAACACTTGTCGCTACTACCGAACTCCGGCAATCAACCCGTTACTGATTCATGCTCACCAATACTGTCCAACGTATCACATACGCTTCACACCAAACAACGACGCTTGCTTCCAACATACATACAGACAGGCAAGCTAACTGAGAAATCAGATAAGTTGACGGAAAGACTCGAGGGAGTTGGCATTTATTTCCGATACTTTTTCGAGTTATAACACACACGAACATGCAATTCCCTCGACTAGGCTAATTAAGACACTAACGGATTCGATCAGACTAGGAGCACATTATTCACCGATGTCTCATCAATGCACGGAATTGCCAGTGAATAAGAAAATATTTAGCTGACACAAAATCTACGAGAAATCCGAGTGCTTGTAGAATAATTTACAGCCAATTGACCATTCAAGTCAAAACACAAATTGACTCGACATAGGAACATCTCAAGATGGGTGGACTGTGGAAATCGCTTACTTACCTGAGTCATTCCTTCAAAAAAGTCCGAAACTTGCCAACAAGACGTGCAGACGTAGCGCCCAGAAATTTCGTCCAGGCGAAAGTTGTCGTTTCCGCAGCCATTGCACCTCATTGCTATGCTACAAATCCGGAGAACCGAAACAAAAAATATCCCAGTTAGCAATCACGAGTATGCTGCTCAAAATAAGCACAAATTTCTGGCTGAATTAAATTCCCTGCAAGATTCTGTGTCGTTTGCCGCCAAACGTCATAAAGAAAATACCGAGCAGCTTGTAGCTCAATAAAGACTTGCAAGAAGTCGACAGTGAGTCGAGAAACTGCTGTTCTAGAGCTAGACAATTCAGCTAGTTCCATGAACAGGCTATACTAAGATGCGGATTGTACAAAATAGATAAACGGCATGCTTCAAAAACAAACAGACGATAAATCAACAGAAGAAGAAGAAGACTTAGTTCATTTAAGGGTATATTTTGACATAACTGGACAGCATCTGGGATTTCTTATTTGCATGCAAAAAGCATTTGCAATTGGTGTCTCTGATTGCAGGCAACACGGCAAACGCACAAACATGAAATGCACACCTTACAAGACTAAAGGCGTTCTAACGAATAACGAAAGAACACTGCCAAAATAGTAAAGTAAAACTGATTCACGCGAGACACGCCCCACAAGAAAGCCACCACAAGTAATAAGTATGGGAAAAAGAGTGCTGCAGCACGATATACGACTAAATACACAAAAAAGACTGAGACAGCAGAGGAGCAGCAGGCTGTTCGAGAGCTCGACAGTGTCGACGTCGGTGCAGAGCCAGTGGCGTGTTGTTGTGTGGCGCTCGAGCGTGCGGACCTAGCCCAGAAGTGTGAAACAGCACGAGTCATAAATGTGCAAACATCGAGAACTCGGTGAAAGTTATCAGGTGTGATAATAACGCCCTGACGCCCATTTACGATAAGGAGGCGTGAGCCGACGTTCCGCTCCTCTGACCGCATGCTGTGAAAAGAAGAACATTGTATCCGCGAGTGAGGCGACCGGATTAACGAGTGTGATCGGTCAATAAAGGCTGTTCTGTTGTACCAATATTTTTCATACGAGGGCTCGGATATTCTACATTGGTGGCAGCGGATGCATTCGACAAACGCAAATCAAACCCTAGGCCGTTCTCTTCTATGGACAACAGAGGCGAGGACCCTTGAATGCCAACCGCAGTTTTCACGGTGCCCCATCCGTTGTTCCAAACTCT